CCAATAAACTTTTGCCTCGCGAATTAGTGTCTGAAAGCTTCAAATCTAGTCACAAACAATTCAATATACTTAACAAGAATCGTAGGAATTAATTCCATATGAAATTACTAATTTTCTGAATTAAAATCCAAAATTCATCTATGGGCCCACATCTCGAATCTCGAAAAACTCACGAAATCTGAACACCTGTTCCGAGACGAGTCCAACCATACAAAAATTATCTAATTTCGATGTAAATGGACCTTCAAATCTTAAATTTCGTTTTTGAAAAGTTTTACAAAAATTCCAATTTTCTTTCATCTAAATCCGAAATAAATGATGAATATAGACATGGATTTATAAAATATAATCACTATATGATAAAGAACACTTACCCAGTTTGAAATCGTAAAAAAACTTCTTTGAAATCGCCCCTAGGCCGAGCTCTAACGGAGGATTTGTGAAAAATGAGGAAAATCCTGTTTTTGGTCTGTTTTAATCACTAGGCGTCAGGCCTTCTTCGCGTTCGCGAAGGGCCTGTCGAGTTCGCGATGTGCAACAGCCCAAGTTGCCTTCACGTTCGCGAGTCCTCCCATGCATTCGCGAAGGTTGCTCCCCCTAGCCTTCGCGTTCGCGAGCCAATACTCACATTCGCATAGAAGAAACAATGATTCCCCCTCCCTAGGTCACAAGTCTATGCGTTCGCGGGAAGCTGGTCGCGTTCGCGAAGGGTAAGGCCCCCCATTGCTCCGCGTTCGCGACCAAGCTATCGCATTCGCGATGAAGAAAATACCACCCAGCCTAGTTCACTCTTCGCGTTCGCAAGAGTGCCTTCGCGAACGCGAAGAAGTGAACACCAGAAACCAGCAGAAGTGAAAAATAAGCAAACTTTCTAAGTTCAAAAGTTTCGTAGGCTATCTGAAACTCACCCAAGCCCTTGGGGATCCAAACCAAATATGCACACAAGTCCAAAAATCTGATACGAACTCGCTCGCGTGATCAATATACCAAAATAATACCTAGAACTGTGAATCAGACACCAAATCAAATGAAATTTTTATTAAAACTTTAGAACTTCTATTTTAACAACCGACATTCGAATCATGTCAAACTAACTTCGTTTTTCACCAAATTTGACAGACAAGTCATAAATATAGTAATGGATCTATACCAGGTTTCGAAATCAGAATACGAATCCGGTATCAACAAAGTCAAACATTAGTCAAATCTCTGAAGTCATTAAACCTTTAAACTTTAAAATTTTGACCACAAGCGATAACTCGAGCTAGGGACCTCTGAATTTGATTTCGAGCATACGCCCAAATCCCAAATCATGATACGGACGTACTAGGACCGTCAAAATACGGATCCGGGTCCGTTTGATCAAAACATTGACCGAAATCAACTCGAATGGATAAGCAAAATTTTATATTTTATCATTTTTTCACATAAAAACTTTCCGTAATAATTTACGGACTGCGCACGCAAGTCGAGAAAAGTTTAATGGTGCTATTTGAGGTCTCAGAATACATAAATAATTATTAAATTTAAAGAAGACCTTTCGGGTCATCACATTATTATGTTGAGGCTTACTATGATGTCTTTAATTGTCTCTCCTATTATATATAGATAGATTGTATGGAATACGCAATTAGACTTTTCTTTTATTTTATTTTCAATATAAAGTTTTAATTTTTATATTTTTTTATTATGTTGCTTGTAATTATTTAAAATTCAAATTATACTTTTCTTCTATATTTAAATTCAAACTCAAAAAGAGTAGCTAATTATTAATATAATAATAATTCATAATTTTGTTTTTTTTTTAAAAACTTTAAATTCAAAAAGAAACTAATTATTACCTAACCTAACTAACTTTGTCCTAAAATTGTCAAGTAACTGTTTATTATGTTGCCATTTGGCATACTATGGTGTCTTTGCTTCTCCTATTTTTTTTTATATATATATATATATATATATATATAAAGATTTTCGATATAAAGTTTTGATTTGTATATATTTTACTATGTTGTTTGTAATTAATTCAAATTCAAATTAGACTTTTCTTTTATATTTAAATTCAAATTCAAAAATAATAAATAAAGCATAATTTAATTTTTTTGAAATTCAAATTAAAAAAAATTAATTATTACCTAACCTAACTAACTTTGTCCTAAAATTGTCAAGTGGCTTTTTATTATGTTTTCACTTAGCTTACTGTGGTGTCTTTGCATCTCCTATTATATATCCTTAGTTCCTGCGAGGTAGGCATGGGCATTTCCCTTGCATTTCGCTCTATCACACTGATCTCCCTCATGATTTATAACATTACCGGCACCTCCCTTATTTTTTATAACACTAATCCTTAGCAGATCTAGTTTGGTTTATAATGTTATGTGTTGGTTGATTTGAGTGGTTAAATAACAATTTATTTTTGCTTATTCATTTTATGACTCTTTTTTTAAAATTTAAAATAAAGCATATTAGGAAGGGCAATTTAGTCCATCACAATATTTTATATTAAAAAATAAATATATTTAAAGAATTATTACAAAGAAATCAAAATAAGAGATATAAGAGTAATATCGTAAATCACGAGGGAAGTCAATATGATGGAGGAAAACGCGAGGGAAGGACTCTGAAATTAACTCTAAAAGAATTAGCTCAGCAGAAATGTGATTAATAGCATCATAAACAAAACTATCAAACTCGAAATGCACACAAAAGAAAGATGTCATGAGTTATTTAAAAAGAACACTTTTTATTATGCGGGAGAAATGCTATTAAAGAACCTTCTATGAACTTTTTTCTTATAAAATTTCTACTTAGTTTGCTTTTGTCTCCAAATGTTTTCATGCTTTCCTATACCATGATTTGATAAAGTACACTATTAGTATAAAAGTTTTTCATACGGTTAGTGCATATAAATTAAATCTTTAAAATAATATTAATTTATTAAAAAGATTGACATAAATGGTCTCACGAGGGCTGGTCTTAGCCGAATGTCTCCAAAATTAGCGATATATAAAAAAATTCCTCGGACCGGCATAGAGTTTTTCAGGGGTTTCTCTGTTGGAATTTTAAGCTTGTGTAGCTTAAAGAGGGTGAATGAGAAATTGAGGGGAAAATGAAATATTTGAGTTTTCCTCCTTGACAAAGGGACATTGTCCCATATTGGAGGAAGAAAAGGCTTTTGATGGGTATATATATAATTGCTCTTTTTCTAGCTCTTAAAGAGTTAAGAAGAAGGCAAGCCTCGCGCCGTCGTCGTCGTCGCTCGCTCGGCTTCGGTCAAAGATTGATTGATTAATCTTTTTGGACAAACTTCCTTTCAATTATTTAATTAACGAAAAATTCAATCCGGAATAACCCATGACCCGCGATCCGGTCCGGTCAGGCCCGTTTTCTTTTCCGGATTATTTTGAATCGATTTTCCCGCAATATTTCAAACAACCCTGTTCCAACAGCCATGGCTGTTTCTGAAACGTTGCAAACCTTTTCAGAAAACAATGCCAGCAACTCTATAAATAGAGTTTGAATCCCAGAATCTTTCCTTACAAAATTTTCTGAGCTTCTTCTTCTTTTTCTTCTTCTTCTTCTCCTTCTTCTTCTGCACAAAAAATCCAGTGTGTTTTACAGCCTTCGAGTGGCTCGCTGTTTACCGGCGTTTGGTACCAATCACTCCGGTGAGTTAAATCGTTCTATCCTGGGAGGATATATTCCAGTACCTCGGGTACTTAAGGAAAATAATTTTCTTAAGGACACATTGTGTATTCAGTGGGCTCGATTTATTCCTATACTGTTTTTTCAAAATTTATTTCGTTAAACAAGTATTACTAACTTTCTTTTTTGTTTATATATTTCAGAAAGTTTAATTATTTATTACAGCAATACAGATTTAATAACATTCTCTACCGAATTAAGTTGTTCATCGAAGTTATCTGATTGTCATACTTTTTCTCTTCAGAATTCCTATATCTTATTGGTAGAGTTGATGTTATATTCACTCTACATATTTGTTAAGTTGTTCATCGAAGTCTACCCGATTGTCATACTTTTTCTCTTCAGAGTTTCTCTACCAAATTGGTAGAGTTGATGCTATATTCATTCTATATATTTGTTAAGTTGTTCATCTAAATCTATCCGATTGACATACTTTTTGTGAGTTGTTTTAACAAAGTATTCTTCGAATTTGCAACTAATTTCGATTAAACCACCACAAATCTGCTCCAAATGATCTCAAATATGAAACAAAGCTCCCAAATACTAACGCAAGCAATCCCTAATCACCAATTAGTCAAATAATACCAAATCAAAAAGACTCATTTATCTTCTTCAACACTTTCTAAAGTCTAATAATGGAGGTTTGAGTTTTTTTCTTTTTTTTTTTTTTTTTTTTTTACGTAAATCACCAAAATCTGTGTTAAACTAAAAATTTAAGTACAACTTATCAACATCCAAAATAATTTAATCAATAATCGGTCATTAACTTCTATTTTCGCTACCAAACAAGAATTTCAACTTTCAAAGATTAAATAACTATAGTGTTCAAGTCAAAAGCATAGATATTTTGTTAAGACCAGTCAAAACGGGGATATTCTACCACGACCAATCCCTTTGGGTGACAGGCTGTGCAAATTTTTATCCACCCATTTTCAAATACTTTAAGTTAAAACTTTTCATTTTACCCTCAGAAGTTTTTATAGCTTTAAAAAAATATATGGTACTACAAGTTTCTAACAGTTTTAAAAGTTATAGCATATTTATGAACACAATTTTCAAAAACTCTTTCATATCTTTAGAATTTCATGGCGACTTAAAATTATGTTACATAAATTGAAATTGAGAGAGTAGTAAAACTTTAAATTATACCGATTATATAAAAGATAAATCCAAAAAATAAAGTAGTATTACTTGACACTTTGGAACCCAAGAATTTTGTTATCCAAAATATTTGTGACAGCATTTCATATAAGCCAAATCCTCAACCACATTTTTGCTCTAAAGCAATTTTATCCACAGGTCATATATAACTCATAAAATAGTGAACCAAAAACCAAGAAAATCCATAAAAGAAAAAGATGGAATTAACTACAACTTCACAGTCTCTTTCCTATGCTAATCTTCCAAAACTACCATCTCTGTTCCCATCTAGAGTTAATGTTTGTTCTTCCAATTCCATTAATATTCTTGGATTTAATTGCATACCCAGAAAGCTAAAATGCAATGCAAGAAAACAACTGAGACAATTTGGAGCTATCCATGCTTCTGTGGCGGAGAGCAATTCAACTAATGTTTCTGTTACATGGCTTCTTGAATTTATAGGTATGTGGTAGTAGTTTTTTTTTTTGGGAAGGATAGTCTTGGAGTAACGGTAAAGTTCTCTGCGTGACATATAGGTATATAGGTCATCCTGCACGAACGAGGAATATTTTGTGCACCGGGCTAGCTATAGAAGTTTATGATCATGAGCTAGTGCTGAATTTAGAATGGGAAACAATTAAGGGGATCAAATTTGCAAGAACTATAAAAAAAAAGGCAACCCGGTGGACAAAGGATCCTGCATTCATTAGCGAAGGGCCGCACTCCAAGAGAATGCGACGTAGGCAACCTACTCTGATTTCATGGCTCGAACCCCTAACATATTGCAAGAACTAATACTTGAATAAAGAAAAGGGAAAATAATAAACCCCAATAGAGAAAAAAAAGTTAGGTGATTTTTTCTTATATGCCTAAATTTTGGTGGACAGAATTATTCATACCTATGCTTGTAAGAAGTAGCAAGTATCCGAAGAAATGATGTGCATAAGCCGGTCCGACACTACCATTATAAAGTAAAATAAGGAAAACTTTAGAGACCAAACTCTTACACTTTTTAAATTAAGAATTTAACTTATATACACTGATAGTGCATTGCTTTTTACGCTGTGAGTGCATGTTATAGCTGGTCATTTTCTTTATTCTCCATATTGATATTTACAAGTAGGCTTATTATAGAGAATTATATGTCGTTGTAGGTCATTTTAACATGATGGTGCAAAAAATTATACGGGAGCGCATACAAGTTAAACTCTTTAATTAAAGGGTAAATATGCTCAGTTAAAAAATATGTAGGGATCAAACCAAGGTAACAACTCGAGAGACTAAAATCACTATTTTCCCTTGTAGTTTGTTGTTTCCTTTGTCCTTGACTTCATCATTGTGAACCACATCAGAGGCGGACGCACATTGAACGAAGCAGTATCACGCGACACCGCCTCGTCGGAAAATTTTACTAAACATAAGTATTATTACTGTGGGAAATAATAACAAGAGAAAATGTCACCACTTAGACACAGATCATCGTCTAGTACGCTGGTTAAGTGCCTTATTTTGTTGTAAGAGGCCGTAGATTCGAACCTCAAGTAGAAAATATTTTTGGCATATATTTGAGAGAGCCTCTTGTTAAAAACTATAGGTAAGTAGAATTGGACTCAGAACCTCTTCTAACTTAAGACTCAACAAAATCAATGCACTAACGCCATTTCTTATGTAGAAATGTGATAATTAAAGTTATTTATTCTTCGTTCTTCTATAAATATCGATGGCGCTTATAAAAAATCTTGCGTACGCCCCTGAACCACATGTTGTATGTACTGTTCCTAGTTGATGCTTTAAAGCAAGGACCTGAATTTGTGTTACTTGCTTTCTTCTTTCATAATGAATTGTGTTATAAGCTGCAGAGTATAGTAATCTCTAGATATGGTTAACGACAACAGGAGCTTTAAGCATTTTTTGTGATCTTATCATCTATTCATGTACCCTTTAGTTTAGAACTTTTGATTTACTATCAATTTTTGAATACATCAATGCTGGAAAAAGGTGATGGAGACGCAAGACACATCGGTTCTCCAACTGCAAAGCCAGGCTCTCTTGAAATACCTTCTGTAAGTATTATGATGTACAATTCTTTTTGCGACATTGGATTCACCATTTAACGTACGTGTGCCATGTATGTTAATTGCAAATTCTGCAACATGGTTTAGGGTGCAGTTACTGTCGGACGTCTTGCTGAGAAGGCAGATATGGTCATTCCGGTGCCTACAGGTAATGAAAGCAGTTTTCCGAAATAATTTTACTTATAGAAATTGACCGTGTAAGTAATGTTTACTCTATGTAATTTAACCTGTTGAAAAGGGTTGCCGACCTACTTTTCAAGTAACTAGTTCCACTTATTATTAATTACCTTTAGTTATCTTTTTAGATGAGTTGATGATATAATTGTTTCGACATTGTTAATTTATAGAAGTTAAACTCAACTGAAATGCTTCGTCTTTCCTCTTTTTGAGTAGTTTAAGGGAAGGATTTTACTTACATACACTGACAGTGTAAGCAAGTTTTGCATTGTCGATGTAATATAAACTTAGTCAAGGTATAAAGTTGGTTTGCCAAAAAAAAAAGTTTTAGTTTCTGCAGCTGAATATCTGTTAATGTACAAACAGTATCTGCTGTACATGCTCTGCTACAAAGCATGGAAGAGTATCTCGTAGTTACAGATTTAGACAGCACGAATGGCACGTTCATCGGAGAGAAGAGGCTCAGACCTGGTGTGGCTGCTGCTGCATCACCTGGAAGTCTCTTGACATTTGGTAAAGCTTCAGTCCTAATTTTACTTTCTGTATCTTATTTTCCTTTGCTGAGGATCTATCGGAAACAGTCTCTTTGCCGTTCTAGGGTAGGGGTAAGGTTGTGCACATCCTACCCTCCCCAGACCCTACTTGTAGGAATACATTGGTGGTTGTTGTATCCTGCTTTCCTTCCCCTTTAAACCGTTGTTATAATTTCGTCCGTGTATAATTAAATCAGGGAATATGGTTAATTAGTCCAGAGTCCACAAGATTGACCCGCCTTAATTAGGTTTGTATAGTCCGCTTTGGTCCAGCCAGTGTTGTGAAGAGCGTGAAGCGAGGAAAAGCGACAACCCTCTTTTCTCTTAAAGCGAGAAGCGAGAAGCGAGAAGCGAAGCGCTCGCTTTTTTGAAGCGAAGCGGAATTTAAAAAAAAAATTAAAATAAATACTGCATAGACAACATTCAATACTTCAATGTAAAAACTAAAGAGTAGCATCAATTAAAGCACAAAATGAGCATCCTATTCTTCGACAAGATTGTCAAATTCTTGTATTCTACTATCATTATTATATTGCTCGTCATCTTCTTCAACTTCTTCTTCATCAACTAATAAGAACTAAAAATAAAGGATATAAAAATAAGAGGAAGGGCAGTACACCATTCCAGTAAAAAAATGGGCAGCATTTCAAACGAAAAAACAGTGCAAGAAAATGAAGAAGAAGAAGAAGAAGAGGAGAAGAATGAGAAAGAAGAACTGAAGGGAAAAAAAAAATTCGCCAGCATTTCGCTGCTATTTGGACGCTAAACAATGAAATCACATACCTGGAAAGTGTAGAAAACTTGAACCCTAATCGCCTCTTTCTTTCTCTGTTGTTGCTGGTCGATATGTTTTAAAAAAGAACATCCTTTTTAATTAAATAGGTGGGCAGCCATTTAAAACAGAGAAGCGCACACTTCTTACGCATCGCTTCGCATCCTCGCTTCTCGCTTTTTAGTGGGAAGCGAGCGCTTTTGAATACATGCTACGCTTCAGATAGCAGAAGCGCTCGATGGATCACCTCGCTTCGCTTCTTGCTTTAAGCGAGGAAGTGACCGCTTTTCACAACACTGGGTCCGACGGATCTCATTGATTTGTTCGCTGGGCTATGCCGCATCGACATACTCTGTGAACTTGTGCTCTGTCTTATATAACACTTCACTTTTCTCTCACTTTCTCATGTCGAATTTGTTCAAAGCGTCATACGCACCTCTTTTTCGGAAGCTTGTCATGTTAGAAGCCTGTAAATCCTTCTCTTTTATCTGCCCTCCATCATGACCGACATTAGACCACGTGAGCTTGTTGAAAGGAGAACATATGTCAATGGCCAATCTCTTGTGTGGATATGGAGTATGTATGTAGCATTAACCAAATGGAATATTTGATGCACCCTCGTCTTTGATGATATGAGAAACATTAGAAATCCATTATATAAGTAAAAAGGGAAGAAAAAGGACAAAAGGAAAAAAAGAATTTTGAGACTATCTAGGGGAAGTTGGGATATCATAAGTTAAGTAACTTACATTATAAAGAACTTTTACGCGATCAGTGTATTTAACGTATTGTAGCAAGTTACTTTCCTTATTTTTCTAGGTTACTAATTTTATTTATTACGAACTGTTACTTGTAATTATCTTTTAGGTGACTTGATTGTTTAAAAATTCTTTTATACTGTCAGTGTATAAAAGTTAAACTCGTGTATCAAATGTGTCGACTTTCTCATTTAGGGGACACCAATTTGGCGATATTCCGGGTAGCAAAGCTTGAGAAGATGGAAACTCCATCTGAACCAGAAAAAGCTGAAGCTAATACAGAGGAAGAGGAGCCAAGTAGCAGCTAAAAGTTCAGAGTTGTTATTATCTGCAATAATTTTGTATACAGAGGAAATTTATATATGTGCTTCTATTGAACTTGTGTTGTCCATTTTCTTCTTGACTTGAGGTTATCCCTTTGTTTTCCTTTCCCACCAATTTTTATATTAGCCTTGAGTTTTGTTTCTTTATCTTTTCTACTAGAAGACATCTATATAATGTGCCTTTTCTATGCTCACTTTTACCCAAAAAATGACAGGGAAAAATCATATAAAAAGGAAAATAGTTGGATAATTCTCCAGACAGTTTTATATATAAAAGGCTAACTACAAAAACTTTACTAAAAGGTTTAGATCTAAAAACTTATGGTTTCTCTCTTCTATATTCCAATTGATACCTTTTACTTTCCTAGTTTCACTTTATTTGTGATCAATATTTAACCAAACACAAAACCAAATTTAGTGGGGCAATATGAGTAACATACACCAGGTGGAAAACCACAAGAAAAAAACTTAAACGCGAGGAATGATGAGATAATATTGCACAAGAAGGTCAAGTTGTTATTATCTTTTATTCATCTTTTCTTACAAGAATGGCCAAGTTGAAACCAATATAAGATCTATATGTCTAAGGATTTCAAAAAATGGACTAATCATGTGTATACGGGTGAAACCGAGCCCGTGGGACGCCTCGGTTTCCGATGAAGTGAACAGAGCAAGAAACGTAAAGGCAAGGATCCCTTTGATCCGGGGTCCGGGCAAAACACCCGCCCTCGGGAGTATCGGGGTCATGACCCCCAGTTCCGGTTCGAACCCTAAAAGCCTCAGAGAGCATGACCAGAGAACCGGTGATTAGTTAAACAGAAGAGTTTTACCTTTTATGGAATTGTACTTAGAGTAAAACTCTCATACTGTATAAAGGGGGTCTGATTATTCATTAGGGACATTGTAAGACGCACATCAAATCAATATACTCTTATTTTCTCTGTTATTCAAAGTTCTCATTTTTGTTCATTAAATCATCAGTAACGTGAGCCCCGGTTCGAAGGCAGGCATTCCATTAAGCTGTTACTAAGTCCGAGATCACTCCTCTTCATTGGTTAAACAATTTATCACGTCATTTATCTGTTTAATCTAACACAATTTATTGTTTGTTTTAAAATCACGTAAAAATTTAATTGTTATTCGTTTTTCAGGGTAAACATCATGCTAAATCGAACGCTTGTTGTGCTCAATATTAAAAAGGAAATGTAGAAGAAACGTGTAAATTTATTTCTGTTCTGAAACTTCTTTTTATGGCTCTAATTCGTATACATTAAATACAAACCCAGAAGTTGCCCGTTTTGTGTTTTCATCGGTTATCTCAGTGGCGGAGCGACATTGAACCAAGGCTTGGCAGATGAAAATTATATTATATTACTAGATAATTTTTTATATTTTATGTATATATATTATACGTTGACTCCCTTCGACTTTTCGATGTAACTAATTATTTATTTTTTGATACCCCTTGATGAAAATTCTGGCTCCGCCACTGGATTATCTAACCATTGCTTTCATTCACTTCATTTTTCTAACCAGTATGTTGACCTTTGAAGTTCTCGCCAATTTGGTTTCGGTTGAAAAACTTATAAATCTTATTAAAAGACGCATGTCATATACTCACTCCGTCCAAGTTTACTTGCCCACAATACTAAAAATATATAGTGATTATAGCAGGTTCTTGCAGCATGCTGGTCTGATGGAGATGAAAGCAGTAGGAAGAACATTTACATGGACAAATAACCATGTGTATAGTATACAGTCAAACCTCTCTGTAACAACCTCGTTTGTTCCGAATATGTTTGGATGTTACAGCGAAATGTTGTTATAGAAAACATATATTATAACATGAAAATTGGTTACGGAAAAGCTTGGCTTTTATAGTGAAGTGTTGTTATATAAGTATGTTGTTATAGAGATGTGTAACTGTAGTAGGATTGAAATTGAAGAAATTGAAGAAAAAAAGCCTTATTAGCCTGGGAAAAGATTTGTATGCCTAAAGTTGCAGGTGGGATGAATCTCCTGAACATACACCTGTGGAATAAAGCAGCATTGTGCAAATTGCTCTGGACGTTAAGTAAAAAGAAAGATATCCTTTAGGTAAAGTGGATTCATATGTATTATGGGAAAGGGGAGTCAATGTGGGATAAAATACCTAAACAAGCCTGTTGGATGATACAGAAGGTATTCAAAGCTAAACTATACATTGAAGATTTATAGAAAAGAGCATTGAATGACTAAAGAAGGTCTCCTTTCATGTGATTCTTTCTCCACCAAGAAGATTTATCTACAATTGCTTGGCTAGTACACAAAAGTTGCATGGAGAAGACTCATCTGTAATAATCCAGGTTATCTTAAATGGCTATTCATTGTGAATTTAGTGGCACATGGCAGATTATACACGGGGGCGAATGTAGTGTTGAACCGACGGGTTCAATTGAACCCATAACTTTCGACGCGGAGTAGAAATTTATATGTAAAAATTCATTAAAATTACAAAAATAGTAGATATGAACCCATAACTTTAAAAATATAATGGTTTTCAATGCTAAAAATCTTGAAAGTTGAACCCATAAGATTTAAATCTTGGATCCGCCTCTGATTATACACAAGAGACAGATTAGCTTAGTAGGGGATGGTGGTTGATCAGAGTTGCCCTCTATGTAGGGTAGAACAGGAAAGTATTGATCATTTATTTTCAAATGTATTGTTTCTGCATATATATGGGATAAGTTACTACAATGGCAGGAGGTTACAAGGAAGGCTATCAACTGGACTGATGAATTGGACTGGTTTGACAGGCACTACAAAGGGAAGAATTCAGGTGCTACTATCTACAGGTTGACCATGGCAGCAACTGTCTAGTTTGTTTGGCGAGAAAGAAACCTGGTGGTATTTCAGAACAAGAGCAGAACAACTAGTACAATTATTAAATTGATAATCCAAGAAAACTTAAGCATGTGCAAGAAGTTTTTTTTTTTTATATAGAATTTCCCAGGCTTCCTGGGGGGTATTTATTTCCAAAAGATAGGAGGGGGATGTGAGCCTTACCTCCAAGGATTACAACACACTGATATACATCCAACAGAGGTTGTTACATTAGTTTGCGCCTCTATTAAAGTACAAGACATTTACTACTTAGCTAACAAAAAAATTTGCTTTGTCATNGCTTTTGTCATACTTAAGCCTAACAGTAGGCATCTGGTGTTTGTCAAGCACAAAAGCACCTTTAGTTCCTTATGGGAGTTGTTGGAAAGAAAGGTATACTTTGGCTTAATATTGGACTGGTTCATTATATGTGAAGTATCCTTTATGATCTTCTTCAACCTATAGTTGTTGGTATCACCCTCCTTGAGCATATTCATCACTAGCATTGAGTCCAATTCAATTGTGAAGTCTGAGAACCCATTTTGTACATACCAATTAATGCCAAACATAGCAGCTTGAGCCTCTGCCATGTTATTGCTGCTGCATCTTGAAGGAATTAAGAAGGCCATAATGAGATCTCCTTGATCGTTTCTCACTACTCCTCCCAATCCCGCTTTTTCATTACAATGAATAAAGCTTCCATCGGTGTTTACTTTAATGGCTCCCTGTTTAGGTTTATTCCAGCATGCTAAGATAGCCTTAGGAATAGGTTGAAGTTTCATCATGTTGTCACAAAAGTTGACCCAAGGCAATGTTAGCTTGCATTTTGGGAAAGCTCTATTGATTGCAGCTTGAGTATTCCAGTAAATCTGTTGCTTCATCTTGTAGTAGTTGAACCTCTTTTTATCACCATATTTGCAAAAATATCTACTCTTCCACATCTCCGAACATATTATAATAAAGATGATTTGGAGAGCAAGTTTGTGAAAAGCATTCTTGGATTTTTTTAGCCACCAATGATCTATGTTGCGTAGACTCTCCAAAAATGTTATCGTATCCGTGTCGGGTCCTCAAAAAATGCACTATTTTTGGACGATCCGACGCGCCCCTGATAATATTTTTGCAGAGTCCGAGCAACATAGGTATTTATTTATCAGTGCCAATGTAACATAGAAACTTTATTGACGTGGACTGTTAAAAAGTAATACAGCTGAAGTAAAGTTAAAATATTATGGCGAGGAGAGACTAAAAAATGCCAGTTCAGTGCACTAAACTCCCGTTATGCACGGGGTCCGAGGAAGGGCCGGACTATAAGAGTCTATTGTACGCAACCTTAACCTGCATTTCTGCAAGAGGCTGTTTCCACGGCTCGAATCCGTGACCTCCCGGTCACATGACACCAACTTTACCAGTTACGCCAAAGCTCCCCTTCAAGTAATAAAGAATCTGATATTGATTAAAAACCAAGGTAGCTAACGAGGGGATTAGGATTCACCTTGCACACCATTAGGAAAATTTCGTATGTCAGTTACCTTCCTACAACAAGTTCATATGATAAGTATGATATAATTATGAGCTAAAATGCCATTGCAGGAAGAAATACTTTTTGGAAATTAAATCACTCGTTAAAATGTATTTCATATGTTTACATAGTCCATATCCTATACGTTACAGCAGATGTATGTGTGTGGGAGAAAATAAAATTTCAGGAAATATTACATTCTGAACACATAATTTCAAAAGTACAATAAGCTCAGTGCCATAATCTTTAAAAATTGGGACTCATAATTTCTGACCGCTCTTCAGATGAAATGCCAGTAGATGAGAAAATTTCTAAGTGTTCATGTTAGATTTTAGCCGGTGTTATCAAAGGCGCACCCTTAAGCGAGGCTTGACACCTGTTAAGCACTTCGCCTTGCTTAGCGGTAGCTTCAATGTTGTTATCAATGTTCTAAGGCATACTTTTCCTTTCCAATGAATGTAATCCTAAAGAGGAAACACTAAACATTTGATATTTCACTTTATCGTATATTTTTTTAAATTTTTTTGTCCATATATTTAGTATTCGTGCTTATAGATATTAGTCTTGGACTACACATACATATTTGTAATTTTTTTTTCATTTGTGTCTTTCTTCATTAAAGTCCGCGCTTTATTTGCACTTAAAGCCCCAACAGACCTTTGAACCTTTTTTGCGCTTTTCGCCTTTGATAACATTAATTTTAGCTATTTTATGGAACATATTAAGGTATAATAGGTCACACTCTATTGGACATTACACT